TACCTAAATCTAATATCAACGTTTCGGACCTGAATCCTATCTTTCGTCGATGCGCCAGTGGGTTCTATCAAGTGATCCAATTACCATTGTCGTTCTCTGGATCACAATACAACGTACCGAATCTGCCCATTTACGTGGAAACGGCTGTGAAGATGGACTCCCTCCGATAGATGGATAGATACATAGACGCGTGTGGCGTCATGTCGGGACGTTCGTCGTTATCGTACCGACGTCGGCGTCGTCGTACGCAAGGAGAATAATTTAAGTCAGAACTGACCCAGAAGTGCGGCAAGTTGCAACCGCGTGTATTTACGTAATATTATTGTATTCCATCGGGTGGAAACGAATTCGGAGATGGAATATACTATTGCGAACAAACGGATGGACGGACCCCCTTGTCCGATCGAGCGGAAGTTCCGGACGTGGACGCGTCCGTCGTCTCCAAATGGGGGAAGAACCGGGGAACCCGTTGTGCAGTGGACAGGAAGAGACGGCAAAACAATGACCCTTTCATAAGACCTTTTGTATTTTGTTTGTTAACAACTCTGCTGAAATGTGTACAAAACTGGTATTGACAATCTCAGTCTGACAGTTTTCACTTTATCTCGGTTTATTTTGTAATATTCGTTACGTATTGCAAAAATAATCAATAATATTGCTCAATTATTAATGTTCTTTCCATAATTTACCTTTTTTTTTTAATATCGTAAGTCTGTGCGACCCATATCCAATGTAATAGGTACAAATCTGATTTCTTATGTTTAGGAGTATTCGTGTGTTTTGTGATTTTGTTTCTTGAAGTCCTTCAAATGTCTAATTAATTTCGTATGGCAATAACAAACAAAAAACGCTCGAATTTATAGCTTACAATTATTGAAGACAAGCGGTTTCTTTGTTTGTCAAATTCGTATCCCGCTTTTAAGAAAAAAGTTACGACATTGTGGGACGTGACTTTTCGGTATTCTCGCGAACATAAAAATTATTAGTTTTGTTTATGCGCCCGTGAAACATACGATACATTTTCAGCACACACGAATTTAACGACTTTCCTAGATCTCGTCGTGCTTTTGTTCTCGGATTTTTTTTCGAGGAACACCAATAAAAAATAAACCACGAATCGGGTGACAAATCATCATACATTTACATCAGTTAATCGTATCACACAAGTTATTACTGTTGCAAAATACGTTGATTCGATATTATGATGTGTATCTAATCTAAATGTTCTTATGCGAACAAAATTTTAACAGTCGATTGCGTGTTGATTCTTTTTTGTTTTAAATGCCAACCGACCGATGCGACGCGTGATTTACGAGGGCCGTTGTTCAATTTTTTCTTATTAAATTTGAATTCTTCCGGCTCGGATTTTCGATCAGCGTGTGGACAATATTATAAATCTTTCGACGAAAAGCGGTCGATATCAAAGACACCGCCGATTACGAAATAGAACTGCTTCCATTTTTACGACCACCATGTCGATTATCAGGCCCAGAATCGCCCGTTATTTTGTTAGTTAAATAAGTTCCGCGATCATTAACTTTTATTACCTCGACAATCCAGTTGGCTGATCTATTGTGTTGAATCAACTTCTCTTTTTTGTTTTTTTTTGTTTAACTTTTGTTTCGAAACGCGGTCGCCATATCTTACAGCAGACGGCACGATGTGATTCTTCTTCTACGATCAGATTGGAGGGGACTGTAGGGTAATTGGAAAACGAATATAAAGTTACCCTATTTATCCTCTAACTGCTATGATTTCAAATAATAAACAAATGATTTCATCGCCGGTTATGGATTAAAACAGAAACCAGAAGCAACTGTTTTGTTTATGTTGGTAATTACTATTCTAATCGTAAGCTTAATTGCAAGAAGGTTGATTACAGCCGTTGACCTTTTGGCAGTCGTCGATAGGATTGTTCAACAGGTGCAGTAACAGATTTTTCAATTACGATGACATCAAAACTTAATTAGTTAACCTTTGTACGCTGAAAGGTAGAATAGCAAACAATTACGCGACACCTCCTTTTAATTACCGTTTTTTTTTTCAATTACATATAAGTACATTTGTAGGTAAATGCTTAAATTTCCACAAAAAAATCCAAAATGATTTCTTTTAGAGGTTCTGTACCTATCTAGATTGTTGCAAGCATTTGTTTGGATTGGCAATTGTTTCAGTTTCATTTATTTTTCGCCATGATTGCTATTGCAATACAGAACTCGCATATTTTTATATTACGTAACATCTGTATTTCCGCCGATGAAGTATGAGTCATTGTAATTAAATCATTGAAAAAAATGCGCTCGGGTGATATTTTTAGGAATCGAATTTCGCTGATAAAATCGCCATGAGCTATCGTAATTTATTTTTAGAACGTAGAAACCATAAAACAAACAGGTACTTACGGTATGTTTTATTATGTATTATTACCGTTTAGAAATTACGAAATGGCATTGTCGATAAATACATACCTACACAGGTAATTATTTAACCACTGCAAACAAAGATGTTGTTGATAAAAAGGAAAACGTTTCCAAATACGGAATTGCGAAAGGTAGGGTACCTACAAAAATTTTGCCGTGTCACGATTTAAAATTAATTAACAAAAATTCTTTATTAGAAATGTACCCAATAATACATAGGTATGTTAGTGAAATATGATAAGTTGATACGATAAAATTTAATAACATTTGAACCAAGACACAGTGTTTTGTTTTCACTTTTTAGAGGTTAAGTAGTTACAACGATCTCTGGGGGTAGAAGCTACTTAAATTAAAAGGTAAACTTATAAAATTGACATCATTGGGTCCAAGAATGTAGTATGGTACTCCTGTGATAAAGATATTAAAAAAATAATGCATTTATTTAAATGAAACTTCACACTTCAAATTTGCCACAAGCCCTTAAAGACACCCTATACCGTTATTTTTTTTTAGGATCCGGGTTGGTACCAGATAATGATGCCAAGTGCTGGATAATTTCAATTCAACCTTCTCGTTGAAAATCGTTCAACCAAGAATTAAAAATTCATTTGTTTAGCATTTAAACGACTTTTTGAACGGGTTTGGGACCTTGGTGACGGTGGTTTTTGATACAAAGTCCATCAGAACGAAGACATGAACCATTAACCCTACTAGTATTGTCGAGTACCATGCCGGGCACATGGTAATCTGGTACCCGGAAAAATCGCTAGTTAATAAGTAGGTATTTTTTCCTTCAAACTGGAATAATCGGCAGTCAACATATATGAGCGGTCGTGAACTAGCAATAAATAAAGGTAAGAACTCAATTTGTTCATGGGGAAGTAAGAGACAGGGGTAATGGGCAATCTCGGTGTTACAGACGCAGCCGAACAATAAATATCCCATAACCCCCGTGTACTGGAGATCATTAAACTCCAAATCTCAGATGTGTGTCGGCTTAACGAAAATAGCAGTAAAATTTTTTATTGCTTTCCATGCTTAGTGCGGTAACTCTGAAAGTCTATTATTTTCGGTTAACAACCAAACGGTGGACCCTCTACAAGCACATGTAGCTACAAACATACGTGTATGCGTCGTGTATGTGTGCAGCATATTAGTTTTCTTCGAGTTTACGAAATAATAAAAACGAACTGAGGGGTGCGTTTTATATTCCGAAAGGGGGGCCACATTTAAATATGAAATCCTGCGTCTCGTATACTTCTAAAGAGATTAAGCGTCAGCAGCGAGAAGGAGGATTACGTTGAAAGTTCAGTCAACTTTTCGTAATGTCAAAGTCAGTCCATCGAATTTTTTATAAATACGCTATATCCATTTTGACATATCAGTACTTTCAATAGTTTCAAAGATTATAAATCTTTTGATATTTTTATTAATTATAAACATGTAATGTGCACTAGGAATCGATTTATTAATCATCCAAATCGGCCAGGAATTATCTACAAATCAATATTGATCAACTTTGACGCCCCCTGATGGAATAACTAACCATGGAATAGATCTCCCCTAACATCCCATAGAGAAAACGAAAAAGGAAAATTTACTTAAATATTAAAGCGATATTTGGAATTTATCCCACTATCCCGTTGTTTAGCAAGCGGAAATAATAAAAATTACAATTTGGACCCGAATTTGTAAAAATAAAATCCCAGCAGAAATAAATTTACTAGGAATTTTAGTTGATATTACAAACTGAATTGTAATAATTAAGAAACTTGAAATAATTTTTTAAAAAACATGTCAAAATTGAGATTGTTACAAGTTACCTAATAAAATCTACTATTTCTACGACAAATTACATCGAAAATAGTAATTTTTGCGTTGTCATAAAAATTTAGTTTTCTCTATTAATTTCTGTAAAAACCTCAAATAGTCCATCTCGAAACAATAATTTTCTTTTTTTGAAATAAACTTCTTCAAAATTACCATTTGGAAACTAAAACCACCGTATCGTTTACTACCCTTATTAGAACCGACGAAGTCACGCTTAAATTTACTGCATCAAACGTGTCGTGTTATTAGAGAACAGTTTTTGGTTTCGTTATTACGCGACCAATTAATTTAATGAATTTAATGCGTCAGTGCCAGAGATCTAGAAAAATTCCTTGGCGTCATTTCTTAAATGAAACTCGATGAGAACGGAGATACTTCCCCGTTAACGCGAAAGAATAAAACAGAACGAACGAATGAAAGAAAGAAAAAAAAAAAAAGAAGAAGAACGACGATGCAACAAAAGCCGAAGAGGAGAGCGTCGTTGTTAGAATGAGGGAGCTATTTTAAAATTTTTTCCGACGTGCTTTGTTCTTTGCTTTGTCCGTACCACTACTGGTTTTAATGAAAGAACATCGGCCACGTGAAATTGTCAAAATCTGCCGCATTCAAACAGAATGCGCCACTGAAAAACAGACGGTACACTCCGTAATTTACCAAATTAGAAACAAAGCGTTTCGTTTTTCATTTATTTTTTTTCTTGTCTTTTGTTTCGTTATTAGCAGCAGCTCATTTATTTCGGCTGTCCTCGATTTTAATTCATGGCAGTGTAAAGTTACCAATTCCGATACTGTTGTGTCACACGATGACTTTTCAAAGCAAATATACATGTGTACATAAATAATGCACAAAAAAATGGGACACATCGCGTTGCTAGAACCTTGTAAATTAATTTTTATTTAAAATATTCACTGCGTTCATTCTTATTTATTGAAGAATCATCTGAAGACCCTTTGTTGACGTTTCCTTTTTCGTACCAACATTTCTGCAAAACCTGATGGATGCTCCACTGTATCTACGTCTGCTGGTTTTCCGATACACCTATATAGGTAACCCCCTTCGTCTAGCGCCATATTTTTATTTCGTTTTATCGCCTTAATCTCTGGACATACTTTTTCCTTTCTTGCAGGGAAAATAACGGAAAGTTCGTTCCGTTTTCCTGGATTTTATAAAAGTCATATATATGTATTCATGTTAAATATACTACATGTCAGAAAATTACCTTGTTTAGTTCCATGTATAAGGGCTCTGGCGATCGCGTGAACTATTAAGAATGTCATTAATAGTTCGACCAAAACTTCGATCATTTTTTTTTTTAGCACTAATTGATAGATACTGATAACATTATTAATTTAGGAAATTCTTAAACTGAAAGCATGTCATTTTGACATTGTGTTTTAGATTGTCAAATAAAAAGCACATTCTAAAATGTATATTCATCATTATCATCATAAGTCTTAAGACTGGTTGGACACGCACCTCCACTCTTTCCTATCCTGAAATAATAGCATTTCCCTAAAACTAGAAAAAAAAACTTTTGGGTGTTTCATTCCCACCAGCCAATAATGGTGGTGGGCGGGCAGTCCCTCCGGACTACGCCGGAAGGTAGGGCGGAAGGCCCTCTTCAACCTGCTTTCAGGAATCGTGGGAATGGGTGGGTGGTGGTTCGGGTGAGAAAGTTGAGACGGACGAAATGAAGACAGATGAGAATGAATGATTATCTGTGGAATATTACTGCTCTACTCTACTAAGTGATCCAAGGAAACCACAGAAAAACTTGCACCAAGGCAGACGGACCTGGAATCGAACCGTCATCCTCCCGAATGCTATACAATGGTCTAAACCTCTAGGCCATGCCGCTCGGTCTAAAACCAGAGCAACCCATATCCTTAACTATTTGCGAACAGTAATCTATACTAAGTCTACTTCTACCCCTCTTAACTCCTGTTTCTGCCTCTAATATGTCTCTGACTAGACCTTCATGCCTGAGAAGGTGTCCTACCAACCTATCTCGCCTATTTCTTATTGACTTCCCTAGAATTGTCTGTTTTCCTATTCTATCTAATACCTCTTCATTTCTAACCTTCTCTATCTACGGTATCCTCATCATCCGCCTGTAACACCACATTTCGAAGGCTTCTAACCGTTTCTTTTCCAACGCGCCCACTGTCCATGTTTCGCACCCGTACAACACCATGCTCCAAACATACACATTTAACAACCTTTTCCTAATTTCTAAATTAATCGTTTGCGAGCATAGAAGTGACTTCTTTTTATTGAAGGCGACACGACCCTGCGCTATCCTCTGCTTTATATCCCTACTACTCCTTCCGTCCTGACTTATCTGACTCCCTAGATACCTAAAATCGGCCACTTCTTCTAATNGGTTCGATTCCCGGGGGGGGGGGTGACAACAGCAACAATTTTTCCCTCATTAACTTGAGGTAGTTTGTAGTGGGTAAATAAAAAATCGAAAAAATGATTTCAAATCTTGTAATTATTTTTTACATATCATTACGTATTTCCCAATTCATTTAAAACAACCACGTGTGCGTCTTTACCATTTTCATCCCCGTTTTCCAAACAATTGGAAGAGTGTGACACTTTACTTCTTAAAGCGTTTATCAGTTGACGATTGAGTAAAAACCTCGATCGCGAAACGTTTAGGGCTTCAAAGCAGTCGAAGACTGGCTCGTTATGGATCGAGCAGTTTTTTTGGATGAAGTTAGCCATAAACTGCAAATTATCTACCAGAGCTTGGTATGACGTTGTCCTAAGTATGCCTTCATCTAGAGGTTTGTGGTTTTGAGGGTCCATTTGTGAAAGTCGAACTTCTAAAAGTTTTTGTTGAATGGACTTGTCCAAAGATGTCCTTAGTTCTACTCGTTGATTAACGTAGACGTTTGAGGGGTTACGACAATTTTCTAAGATTTTTGGGGACTTACTTTTATCTTCATCGGCACTGAGGATTTCTTCCAATTCTTTCTTAAGTAAACTCTTTATTGATTTAATTTGCCTCGTTTTGGCGGGTTTGTGTTCGGTTTTGGGTGACTCAAGATCCTCACAATTAACTGCTTCTTCATTTTCTTCTTCTGTTGAGATATTAAACGATTTCTTCATATCCTCGCGGTGGCTGTTTAAGATTATTTGGGAGAAAGAACTGTTACAATCCAGCACCGTTACGTCTTCCAATAAATTGCTCCAAATCCCTTTATATGGTTTCATGTGAATGGACTGAATACTGTCAAGCTTATGATGGTCCGATAATACCGTGTTGAATTGTGAAAACGATTTGGAATTTACTATTTGCGGTGTTGAATGGCTCCTGTTTCTATTGTTTCTTTCCACAACACACTGGTCCCAATACTTTTGGATCAGGTCCACGAGTTGTCGTTCCAGTCTATCGTGAAACGAAGGGGTAAAGGTTATTGAGGATTCTTTTTCTTCAATTCTTCTGTCTCCTATTGTTGTCTTTCCACAGTATGACCTGGTATTGACCCAATCTCTTTTGATTTTCGTAGATTCCACTGGTAGATGCCGACTCTCAAAGTTCAAACACTGGAATGAAGTTTGAGTTCCAGATTTTGTACACTTATTGTTGTCAGTACTTGTAGTCTTTTCTGTGGTTTGTATGTGTGAAGTTCCAACTGATTTTTCACGATTACGAATCTGACGATTCAAATCCAACAACGGATATTTACTAAACTTGTGAAATGCATCGCGTACTTTATTTGGTTCTTCAGTTTTGGAAGAGAAGCTTTTGAACAAGTCTTCGTAAGGCAAAATAAATGGTTTCTTTTGTCTTTTGATCGCTATACTATCTTCGGTATGATGGTAACTCCTTGACGATGTCGAATTCAACTTTTTTTCGTTATTTTTCGTCTTTCCGCTTCTTTTCCGGACTTGTTCTCCTTTTCTGTCTAAAATCCTTCTATTATCTATGGAATACACTAGTTAAAAATTAATTTTACGAAAGTTTGCCGTTGTTATTCACCTTCGTTTACGGTAGCGAGAGTGAGGCAATAAAAGAGAACCAAAATAAGCCCCAGTTCCAAAAACACTTCCAGCATTTTCCTGCTGAGGATAATTGCTAGTTACTGAAATTTTTCATGATGTATGATGACAACTGTTGACGTTTTCGCGATCAAATTCCCCAATAAATAACGTCAATTCAATTTTTGAAGTTTACCTAATACTTTTCTGGGAGTTAAGCCCTTTATCAGAGCCACAAGGAGCATAAACAAAAGATGTGAAAGGTTACTTCATACAGGAAAACGACTCGATAGAACTCGTCGTAAAGTTGTAAGGATAATCCCCGTATAGACTTGCAGGGACCCGATAAGAAATTCATTATCGCGAAACAGTTTACGTAACGAAAAATGTTATTTTTCAATTTATCGACGGTACAACGTACATGCATGGCAATATAATCACGATAATCCCTAAATCTAAGCCATAAATGTAATGGAACGGAGCGTGATACAAAAAAAAAAACTACTCCAACGGGTAGAAATGTCATTTTTTTTGGAATCAGATCTCATTGACATATTAATCGATATCGTTCGGTCAAATCGTTCGAAATTTCACGTGTAATTCAAAGATGCCATCAGGTCACAAACGACAATGTACAAATATGTTTTTTGTTCTATCATTGTCCTTGCAATTTGGACACTGGCCAACGCAGAAAGCCACTGTATAACTGCAGGTAGGTTTAAATTCTTTAATCTTAAGAGTTATATTGAATATCCAATATCAATTATTCATCAGATAAGCCAGAAATCAAGAAAAACAATTGTCCGCAGCTAATTGACGATGACGATGAGATTAAAAAGAAACAACAGCATTCGATAGACAGCGCCGCCATATGCAACCAGAAACGGTTACGGGAAACCGAAGAACAGAAAAAGTGCAAGCTCGAGGTCAAAAAGAAAAAAAAACGATTGCAAAATGAGAAGCCCGAAACCAAGAAGAAAAAGAAATGCGTGTCGACGAAAAAGAAAATTAAAAAACCGAAGAGAAACTGTGCAATACAATTGAGAATCGATAAACTTAAATCACGATGCAATTGTGGTATAATAACACCCAGTGAAGTACCCTATACCGATCATTGCTTCAATAAATCGCAACTAACGATTCAGTTGACTCAAAGTAGCACAAAACATTGTTCTAATATAACTGAAACGGCGAATTCAACAAATACTATTCCTACAATTAGACAAAAAACAGGAAAGAAATGTACAAGAAAATCTAGGAGATCTTCAAACGGTCAGAAACGGTCGTGCATTTTTGCTGTAGCCTCTCCAATAGGTGAAACCAAAAATAACATCGGGCATAATAGACCCAAAGTATCAGTCAATTCAATTCTGCCAAATCCTGCAACCCCCAAGGAACTGGACAATACAAAATTCACTAAAGTTGCGGAAAAGAAAAACAGAAATTGCAATCCAAAGCAAAGATGTAATCGAAACGAACCAACAGGGAGGAAACGAAGAAGAGACCGATGTACTGGACCAGAATCTCAACAATGTTTATGTAATGTTAATATCGTTGACTGTTTGTTAGGCGACATTCCCGCTAATTATTTAGAAAAGCTTAAACAACAACAATTAGAAGAACAAAAGAAAACAAGATTGGGTAATCAAACTTGCACGATGTTAAAATAATTAAAAAATAAATAAGGCCTAAATAATATTTTTTATTATATGTGTCTATTAATAAATTCTGTTTCGTTTTCTTTCTCGAGATTCGTGGATTTTCGTGAAAATATTAACGCACTGGTCGGTGGTAAACGTAACCAGATTCCACCCCATACGAGCAATTTGCGTCATCGTCGGCACCTTAACTTCCAAAACGGCATTGTTACAATTTATCTGCTTCTTGCTCGGTCCAACAAAGCCAGTATTTAGATCGTGATGTCCAAAATGTGGAGAAATTGTACTTGTCACTGTTTTGTCGATCAAATTTCTCGTGTTATCGCAGTTGATTCCACAAGTTGTAGAGGGAATTCTTGCCCTTTCCCTGGCCAGCTCAGCTGGACACTTTATACATTTTGGCTTGTTTGAAATAACGTCTTCTTTATAAAGATTTTTCTTGTTACAAGGTGTGGTGGCCAAACCCATTTTGCTGCTTTCACATTTTGGCACACCGACGGTTCTTTCCTTGGGTACTCCACAAGGTTTTTTTATCTTTGGTAATTCTGCTGGACACTCGATTTTTCTAATTGTTTTTCTCTCACAGCCCCCGCATGACATTTGTGGAGCAGTATTTCGTTTCAAAGTATTCGAGGGACAATGAATCGGTCTTCCACTGCTACTTGATTTTTCTTCACGGTCCCGACATGAGATTTGTCGAGATTGGGGAGTATTCGTGGGACAATGAATCGGTCTTCCAGTGCTAATTGATTTTTCTTCACGGTCCCGACATAAGATTTGTCGAGATTGGGGAGTACTCGTGGGACTATGAATTGATCTGTCACTTTCAGTTGTTATTTCCTTGACAAGTATTGAAAGATCTCTGGAACCTTTCTGGAGGATCAGGGGAGTGCATTGGGCTTGACTTTGCACTTTAGTGTTCTTGACGCCTTGGTCTACTATTACCTTATTTTGCAATTTGGGACACTGGTCTGGTGCTACTTTTTTGGCTGTAGACGGTTTTCTGCAAGACGGTCTCTTAACAAACGGACATCTGTTTTTTGAGGTTCGCAACCTGTATTGTCTCTTGCACTTCTTCTTTGCCTTGACTTTCGGAGGCGGTGGTTTTTTCTTTTTGGGTTTTCCTTTCGGTTTCGGTGGCGGACAGTACGGTTTTAACTCTTCGCATTGCTCTCTGCCATCTTTGAGGATGTATTGTTCTGTTTTAACGAATTAACGAGGAATTACAGATAGATTTGAGTGATTATGCTTTAATCGCTTACCCAAAATACTGGCTAAAGAATCGTCCACTGCAAAAAGGACTACGAAGAGGACCAGGACAAAAGAAACTCCATGGCGCATTTCGGGTTGAACAGAAAAAGTTTCATACGAACGATTTTGATTTCTTTTTAGGTATTTTTTTTCTATTTGTCATTTGATGTGACGTGAAAAACCTTGGCAACTTAGTGTTTATATAAATATATAT